TATATATATATATATATATATATATATATATATATATATATATATATATATATATAAACACCCTAGCCGCTGCTTCACCGATCTGCCTGGTTATGTTAATAATTGCTTTTGTGATCCAACTGTCTGTCTTGCCTAAATACTGCACCCTTCTGTTCTGATTCATGACATGAAGTTCATATTATTCTAATGTAGTGTATTTAAACAAAGTGTTCAGTTATGTTTGTAATAATTGTCTTGTCTTTAGCATATTTCAGGGCCCAGGTTTTTCTAAAAGGTATGTTTTATACAACATGTATGGGTGTAAGAAAGATGGTTTGTACAGTATATTTACATGGTTGTGTGTAAATGTGGTTATACAAATAATATTTGGTGACGTTCAGGGGGTCCATTGGGGCTGAATGGCAGCCATACTTGACAGACTGACAGTCCCTGGACAAGTAGCTTAACATCTTAATATTACACAATATATACTTTGTGTAATATATGCTCAAGTTTCAAACTGTAATGTATTGCATGAGTTTGTTTTTCCAATTCTTTCAGTTCCATTCTTGCATTAGTTTTATTTATTCAAGGGTTAGAGTGTCTTGGTGCCATAATTAGAGTAAAGAAACTTTTTCAGGTATTTGTCTGTCATTGGCTTTGTCATCAGCTTAGACAAATTGACGCTGTTATGCTCTGGGTTCCTTGCTCAGGAATCAAGAGTGGAGGCAGTGAGATACGGACAAGTAACTTGCAACTTTCTCAGAGCACAACTGCACTGCTGTAACCCATTAGACCATATTCTTTATGTTTTCATATTTCTTATGCATGGAAGCCCTGGAATTGAGAGTTTAGGTGGACAGATAAATTCAAATGAATATCATTTTCTCTTGTATGGAGAGAAGTTTTAATTGATGTGTTACCGTCAGTGTCCAATGAATATATTCTCTGCTCAATTGATAGCATTCCTGCTTTTGCTATCATAATAATTAAACTTTATTGATCTCACATTGGAGAGATTTACCTCTGCATTCAACGCCATTGTGTGGTGCCAGGGGTGCAGTGTGGGGTTAAGGGTTTTGCTCAGAAACCCAGAGTGGAGACCTTGGAAATCGAACCTGATACTTGCAGCCCTCTCAGAACACAAGCACACTGCTCTAACCCACTAGGCCAACACCCCCCTTAATCAACACCGTTATATTACAATTCTGACAAAACACTAAGTGTTTAAAAATTTTCATTTATATTTTAACCTGTTTTCTCATCACTGTGCAAATGTTTAGGGCGATGCACACTTCTGCGACAGGGGAGGTAATTCTTGGCAGGTAGCAATATCTCTGCATTTATCTTTCCATCAAAACTCAATTTTCTGGCATCCATGCACGAGAAATAAGAAAATATCAAGAATATGTTTAGAAGTTCCATTTTCATTCATATTTAAATCGGTTTTCTCATCAGTGTGTGAGAGGGGAGCTAATTCTCTGTATTTGGCATAGCCGTGGTGAGTTTGACGTAGAGGAAAAATTGCAAATCTTGTTTTGGAAAGTAAGCTTGAATGAGCGATGCAAACAGCAACTTTTAAACAGAGTGGCACAAGGAGAAATGGGCTTATGTATTCTCTTTTGCACGCCTTTAATAGGCGTTCCCTTTGGGGAGTTGTATAGGGATGGGCATGTGCATTTTTTTTTAAAGTAGAGAGGGCAGGTTCAAAACATTTGTCAAAAAACCTCCACTATATCGTTAAGATGGGCCTTCACATGTGCTGATTTAAGCAGGAGAACCTTCTGTGCCATGCATAATTTCAAACCATGATGTCTTAGTGTATTACCAACAGTAACCTTGGAAACGGTGCTCCCAGCTCTGTTCAGGTCTTCATATATATAT